TGAGAGAGAGGAAAGCTACATGAAAAAATCAATCCCGTTCACAATTGTGCCCCAGAAAATCAAGTACCTAGGAATCAGCCTAACTAAGGAAGTAAAGGACCTGTACAAAGAAAACTACAAAACGCTACTTCAGGAAATAAAAGAGGACATGAGGAAATGGAAAGACATCCCCTGCTCATGGGTCGGAAGACTGAACATTGTCAAAATGGCAATACTACCGAAAGCACTGTACAAATTCAATGCAATCCCTATAAGGATACCCATGACGTTCTTCAAAGAAATGGAGAAAACACTCCTGAAATTTATATGGAACAATAAACCCCCACGAATAGCTAAAGCAATTCTGGGGAAAAAGAAAATGGGTGGAATCAACCTCCCGAACTTCAAACTTTACTACAAAGCGGTAATAATCAAAACAGCATGGTACTGGAACAAAGGCAGAACTACAGACCAATGGAACAGAGTTGAATACACTGACATCACCCCCCAATCATATGATCATCTAATCTTTGATAAAGGTGCAAGAAATGTGAAGTGGAGTAAGGAAAGCCTCTTTAACAAATTGTGCTGGCATCACTGGACGGCTACATGCAAAAAAATGGGCTCAGAACTCTACCTAACACCATGTACAAAGGTAAGATCAAAATGGATTAAAGACCTCAACATCAGACCAGAAACCATAAGATACATTGAAGACAAAGTTGGCAAAACCCTCCATGACATTGAGGCTAATGGTATGTTCAAAGATGACACGCCACTGGCTGAGCAAGTGAAAACAGAGATAGATAAATGGGACTATCTTAAACTAAGAAGCTTCTGTACCTCCAAAGAAACAGTGACCAAAATACAAAGACGGCCTACAGAATGGGAAAGAATATTCGCCGAATACACATCTGACAAGGGATTGATATCAAGGATATACAAAATACTGGTTGAACTCCACAAGAAGAAAACATCCAACCCCATCAAAAAATGGGGCAATGAAATGAACAGAAACTTTCTCAAAGAAGAAATCCGAATGGCAAAAAAGCACATGAGAAAATGCTCTACATCATTAATCATCAGGGAGATGCAGATCAAAACCACAATGAGATACCATCTCACACCTCAGAGACTGGCCCACATTCAAAAGAACAAAAGCAACCGTTGCTGGCGCGGATGTGGCGAGAAAGGGACACTCCTTCACTGTTGGTGGGAATGTCCACTGGTTCAGCCCTTCTGGAAAACAGTATGGACGTTCCTCAAAAAATTAGAAATTGAGCTCCCATTTGACCCAGCGATACCACTCCTGGGAATATATCCCAGAGAGGCAAAAACGTGTAGCCGAAGTGACATCTGCACTTGTTTGTTCATTGCAGCACTCTTTACAGTAGCCAGAAACTGGAAGAGACCTGAGTGCCCAAGAACAGATGACTGGTTAAAGAAACTTTGGTACATCTACACAATGGAGTACTATGTGGCTCTTAGAAAAAATGAAGTCATGAACTTTACATACAAGTGGTACAATATGGAAAGTATCATGCTAAGCGAAATGAGTCAGAAAGAGAGGGATAGACATAGAAAGATAGCATTCATCTGGGGGATATAAAATAATAAAATATGAGATTAATACCCAAGAATAGCTGAGAGCAACACCAGGAGAATTACTCCATAACTTAGAGGCCAGCTGGGTATTCTAGGGGAAAGGACAATTCAGATAGAAAGGGGAACACCAAGTGGAGGGTGTTTGGAGGATCCTCCCAGGAGGGGAGATGCAGGTTGAAAGTAGACTGGGCTGAACATGTTCGCCACTCAATGCCTCTTTGGCTGATCACAGCGCCCAGGAGGAGAGAGAGAACAGGGGGGAATGCCCTGCCACAGTGGCAGGGGGGGATGGGGGGATGGGAGGATGGGGGGGGAGGGATATTATCCTGGTGGTGGAAAATGGGCACTGGTGGAGGGATGGGTATTTGATCGGGGTATGACCGAGATCCAAGCACAAAAATTTGTAAATCTACAACTGTACCTCATGTCGTTTCACTAATAAAAAAGAAAAAAAAAAAAAAAAATAAAATAAAATAAATAAAATAAAATAAAGGGGAAAAAAAAAAAAAAAAAAAAAAGAATAAATTCCTTTACCTCTTCCTATATTATATCATCTTTTTTTCTGTGCCTAGTTTTCTACCAGAGAGAACAGGATAATGAAACCTTGTTCTTCAATTTTAGGAGCTGAACAATAAAGACATTGTCTCATAGCCGCAAAATGGTTGTACATTTGTCATTGAATAGTGTAAGATTTACAATTTAAATAAGTATTGGAGAAACCTACTTAACTCAAAATAATTGAATTAATACATTATCTCTTTTCAAACTGAAAAGATTCTTTAGCATCATTTCAGACAAGGATTAATTAAACTTGATGCTATTTTAATCAATTAACAGAAAGGACGGGATCTCTATTTTAAAGAGTTTAAAAAAATATTGAAAAACTTCTGACAGTCTTAATAATTATAGAAAATGTGATATACTGTTATGTTAAAAATGGAATTATTCAGAAAAATCAAACTTCATTTAAATGCAATACTTAAATTAATTCTGAATTTTAGTAAGAATCAGTTCTGGCTATGTTTCATGGCAGAAAATAAATGTCAATTTCCTTTTTACTCCAGAAAAGCAGTCACTTTGGAAACCATTAAAATAATATGAAACACAGCAAATACTGTAAAAATAGGAGAAATGAGAAGCTTAAAATTGAAGCTATAACAGGGCAGTGAAATAAAGAAGAAAATCAATACTGCAATTAATTTCACTAAGATTTAGAACAGCTTCCAACACCTTTAGGAGCAATTCTCTATTTTCTCCTTTCTCTGCCAGCCTTAAGAATCTACTTTTAATGGGGAAGACACTGAAACAATTTTTTACTGAAATGAAAACTTTCAGGCTACTTTAAAAGTGTTTTTCAAATTTTATTTTGTGGGGCCTTAGAGAACACACAGAAACTACTTTTCAAAAAGAGAGATGCACTACAAATCCTCAATTATAGAGAGCCTTCTCGGTGCTGGAAGATTAGTGGTCCGGTGTCTACATAAGATTTCATTTGAAAGAAGATTTGGAAGAAGAATTTTTGCTAAAAGGAAAAAAAATAAAACAAAGAAATAACTATCATAAGAAAATATCCCAAGAGCTAAAAAGGAATATTGCTAGAGTAATTTTCCATTATTGAACTAAATCTTACTGACTACAGGAGCAGAAAATTTAAAAAAATAAATAAATAAAAAATAAAAGAGCAAACAACCACCAGCACACAACAAAAAGAATCAGAATTTAAGTTTGTGGGGAAAAGTATGGGAAATGAGAGAAGAAAGAAGTTATGGTCGATGAGAAAGCAAGAAAGAGAGAAATTCTGGTATTTCTTTTTTGTTTTTAAAACGACAGACTCTAGTAAAACAGGCTTTCTTGAAGTAGAGAATAAGTAGGTACCTTCTTAGTTAAGTGCCTATATTCTGGGCTTTTCCTTTATTTCTATTCTCTACTCTCCCAGTTCACTTTGGCTTTGATTCCTGGGAGCCAGGAAACCACTAAATTAATGTCTTTGTCTTTTTGTCCTTGCAATTATTACATTTTCTATGGGTCACTGCCTTATGATATACCTATTGCTTTCAACTAGCCTCTTTCTTACTCAAAAATATTTACAGGTGACCCTGCTATGTAGTGGGGTCTCAACCTTGTGTTCAGGTTCCTTTAAATGCAGACTTTATACTTCTCCCTACAGAAATATTTGGCTGCGCCAAAGCTATTGTCTTCATTTCATTACTTTCTGGCAGTAGTGACAGGCATTGTACTATTTCTTCTTCAGAACACACTACACTTTTTCCTATATTTGTTTTCAAAGGAATTCAAATCTCTGTTATCCCTTTTGAAGTCTTTCATGAAAACTTCCTGTAAAGCATACTGGATTTGGGGGAGGTTTTTCACCCTGTTGTGCTGGGGATGAAACTCAGGTGACATGCACAGCCCAAAACTCTGTACTATCTCCAGCCCTAAAATGTATTGGAGATGCAACTAAGATTTACTGTTCTCTTTCCCTTTTTGAAAATGTAATACCTTACGATAGCTGTTATTTCATACTGAATTATTTTTTCTGCAATATTTTTGACTGCCCCATTACCTTTTGGTATCTTTATAACTTTTCTAGCATTATTCATTGTAAGAATTAATATAAAAACACGAAGATCTACACACAGTTGGGTTGAAGGACACAGAATCCTGCACATGCAGTTTCAGAAAACCATCACCCAGGGGATTTCTCCTCTCCAGAATCCCTGAAACCCACAACAAAATGACTACTTACCTGACCTTGGTGCTCACCAACCACCTGCACGCCAGACCTCCTTTACTTCAATATAAATCTACCCTAAAATACTTGCTGGCCTCCATCAGAGCCTCATGAGATCTGCCCTGGAGCATTCTCTTTTCAATAAACCTCATTTCTGCTTGATTTTCCTTTTGGATTCTTTTGCTTCTTCCTTTCCACAACTGTGTCCCAAGATCTTTCACACAGAACTAATCAGACTTTTATACTTTTTTCTTATTTTCCTCAGTACAATATAATACTGTGATTCTATACATTACAAATTGGTATTACCTCTAGTATCTTTGGTAATACTAGAAAAGCATTGCTCTAGAAGAGTCTTAAGCGATTTATTTGATAGTTAGTGATCAGACAGAATTAGGTTGATGGAATTGTTCTTAAAGAGGAAACTTAATGTTTCTAGTACAGTCTCTCTCACTGATACTGCTGAGATATTAGGCAAATATTAAAAAATTACCCAATAGATTTTAACTAGGTTTCATTACATACAAATTGCAATACTAGTCTGCAAAACTGGTTTTTCCTTTTGTAAGTCTATGTATCATCTAGTAGGAAAAAAACACATAGTGTGTGAACAACTTTACAATAACCATTGAGGAAAAGGTCAAAAAGATCATATAATTTAAAAATAGATTATGAACTTTCATACCTGAATTTCTCCAGTAATTGGATGAGAAACAACCTTTGCTGCATCGGTAGGCTGTAATATTAAAGTAGTATATTACAATAATGAATAGACCATTCAGAGAATTTACATTTCAACTGCATTTGAAATCAACTTCTATTTGACCAGAGTTCACTGTTTAAAAAAGAATTTCATTTGTTGTTTCTGAATATGACATCATCTAATATTTTTTAGTAAATGTTCAATTTTATATATTTTTGTCTTCTTTTTAATTTTTAAGCCTATTTTGAAATTATAATTTTGTTTCTACAGTACTATATTTTTATTCACTAAGAAAATGAACTCTAGTTATAAGGCATCTAAGTATTTACTGGTTCTATGTCTATAAATATACAATAACAAACTGGGTTTTTTTTTTTCTTTTTGGGTAACACCAGCAATACTCAGGGGTTACTCCTGGCTCTGCACTCAGGAATTACTGGTGGTGTTTGGGAAACCATATGGCATGCTAGGGATCAAGTTCAGGTTGGCCACGTGCAAAGGCAAATGTCCTACCAGCTGTACCATCAATCTGGCCCCAATGTTTTTTTTAATTATTTTTTCCTTTTAATTATTATATAGCTTTCTCAGATTTAGTAAGAAACCAGATTCTCTTTTTGTATCTTTGTTTTTGGTGGTAAAGAAAGATTCATATTGAGCTAATTTATACAAAATAATAATTTAAAAATTTTCATAAGTGTACTAAAAATAACATAAGGGTGACTACAAGTCTGTTAATTTAATATTTTATACTACACATTAAAGGGGCTGGAGCGATAGCATAGCGGTAGGGCGTTTGTCTTGCATGCAGCCAACATGGCCGACCCACGTTCGATTCCTCTGCCCCTCTCAGAGAGCCCGGCAAGCTACCAAGAGTATCTTCCCCGCACGGCAGAGCCTGGCAAGCTACCCGTGACGTACTGATATCCAAACACAGTAACAATTGTCACAATGGAGACGTGACTGGGTCCGCTTGAGCAAATCGATGAAAAATGGGAGGACAGTGACAGTGACTGACTACACATTGAGAAAGTTGCCTTTATATGATTTGGAAGTTAAAATGAAAAAAAGAATTTCAGACTTCCAGATCACTGATAAGATTTTAATATGTAAAACATAGCTCTTTGTACTGCTTGTATAGTATAAAGATGTATTTAATTGAATTTAGCATCATACCTATAGTTATACAGAGAAATTTTTAGAGTTTAAAAAGATCTTTGTATTACTTATGAAATTTAAACAAATCATTTAATTAACTGAGGCTCATATTTTGCCAAAATTTATTCATATACGACCTTTTAAATTAGAGTGGTGTGTATAGGTTAAAAGTTGCTTTTGAGGTTTAAAATATTTAATAGATGTTCTATATATGTAAATGTATAAGTATCCACCAATAATTTAAATTGTATTTGTAATTCCATTCTGTTAACAAACTTTTAAATTTATTACTTTTATATCTGATAAAACTATAATGCTCTAAATTATTTGAGGAACATTAAAGAATACGTGAATGTAACTAAATTATTATATAGAAGCTGCAAAGTATCACCTGACTTATAATAATCTCTTAATATTATTTTTAACACTGTAGGATTTGAAAAACAAAAAGGAAAGGTATGCATATGTTGTTGATGGGTTAGGAAATAACATTAAAGTTATTCATCTACTCATATAGCAAAAATGTTTTGAGAAACTGTATCTGCTATATATTTAAGACAATACGTTTTAGAAGATGATTAGATCCAGATATTATTTTATTATAAAATCAATCTAAAATTTCAATGAGATACTTTTTTACATTGTGTATTTTCATCTTGAATCTTTAAAATATATCATGTAATTCTCTGATATAGAGAGATTTCAATTAGAACTAGCTATATCTTAAGATCCCAATTGTCATAAGTGGCTGGCAATATTGTTTTGATACAGTATGGAGGTATAACTTTGTATTGTAAGAAAAAAAAATTCAGTCAAATTATAGAGATCACATTTTTGGCACATGTAAGAATTACTATAAAGTCATAAACCCTGTCTATATCACTTCCTTAATGTTTGTCCCACAAGACTCAATTTTATATTCTAATCACTGCCCCAAATTTAAAACTTTACTAAACTCAAATAGTCCAACCTTTTAAGTATAGTAACTTGTAAAAGCAACTGATGCTTTACCTCTTAATATTTATTATTAGTCACTTTTCTGTGTAAGTTGATCTACCATGTACTCAGGAGACTATATAGAAATTAAGGAATGGTTTTGGGTATAAAGTAGACAAACAAAGTCAAGTAACTATGTCAAGATATCCAAATCATTTTAAGAATACATACATCTGGCTGGCACTTTGGGAGAACCAGTAAAGAGGCAGGATAATTTCTGACTTTTATATATGAAATGATTTCACAAAGAAGGCTTTATGTCACATTTATTTTTTATTTTGCTCAAGATTTATCACTAGCTCTAAATACCTGGTTGACTGAAGTGTGAAAGTAAGGAATAGCAAGTAATATTATACAATCCACAAACACCTGGACATCTCCTCATGTCTCACAATGGTATTTTTTGTACACCTATGTTTTATGCATTCTATGCATCGGTTTTCTGTTTGTGGAGATTTTTTTCAAATTTTCCAAACAAGAATGCACTTGTTTGGAATGTCATTAGTTGTTTCGTTAGCTAAACATTTGCTTTCCTAAACATACTTACCCAAGTGACTTCCCTTTATTTCTTAATAAATTCCAATTTGATACCTTGTTGGATTTGTTTACATATCCTTCTTCCTTTCTCATTAGGTCTGCACACCTCATACATAAAACTACCTTCAAAAATTCATTAAAACCCAAGCTGCTGGCACCCATGTCCAGAGTTTCCAATTCAACAAGAATGGGCCAACGGTGTGCAGGTAGCTGAGTTACTTGATGAAACTAGGGGCCGCTTAGGAAGAAGGGATGCTAGTGAGCTGAGCTACCTTTGGCAAATGCAATAAAGTTTGCCAAAAATGCCTTGTTAAAGGAAAATAATGAGTTCAGAGAAGATGAAACATTATTAAACTAACTAGAAAATTAGGATTTACAGAATTAGGATTCAGTGATAAAACAATGAAATGTAAAGAAAACAATGAGGTTGTGAAGGACCAGGATAACAGTACAGTGGGCAGGGCATTTGTCTTGCATACAGCTGAGCCAGGTTCTACCCCTGGTACCCCTGGTCCACCAGCCCTAACAGGAGTGATCCTGAGTACAGAGACAGGAGTAAGCCATGAGCACTGTTGGATATGCCTCCAAAACAAAACAAAGAGACAATGATACTTTTAAAACTATGCTTAATTTTCTGGGGAGGATGTCAATTAATTAGTGGACCAAAACCATAAAGACCATGAAGCAATAACAATGAGCATGTTTGGAAATGCTGCATGCACACTTTTGTATTAGATCTTCTTGTGAAGATTTTAAAAACATAATGAGAAATATCACTTCATAACTGAGGTGACAGCTCCCAACGAAAAACTAAATGAAAGTAATTAGCATATAAGCGATGCTTAAAGATACTTATTGTTTGACACTGGTCCCAAGAGAGCTTAAAAATGAAAATGAAAGTGCATCTAAGAAGTGTATCTTATAATTAATATGAAAAAAGTTTCTACAAATAAAAAAACTTTCAGTTTTATATTTGAAGCCAGGAATCTACTGGATTTATTTTAGCCTTGTCTTTTATCACATTGCTAACAGGTTTTAAATAACTACATTAAATGTATAAAAATCTAAAAATATAAAATATATAAACATTATTTCATGAGATAATGTCAAACTTAAGAAGAAATTGTCTTTTTACATTATAATTATATAGTATGTAAGGATCTAAAAATAAATCAAGAATTTATTTATTGTTAATAAATAAACCATGTTAATATTTTAATTGACTGATTTACAAATTATTTTTATGTGACAAAATTGTTTTTGACATTGTAATAGATTCCAGAAAGTAATTTTTCAAAATTAATTGCACAAGGTAAAATACAGTTGTGAGAATCTATTCAGAAGTTAGGCTAACTAACCTTGAAATTATTTTGTAATGTAGACTTCATATTCATATATTCATATTGAGTTTGGTATTAAGAATATTTTATTCTTTATAAGCAAACAGGAATTATAGTGACATCTGACATTCTTTTATACAAAGAAGAGCAAGCTTTGTGTTCTGGAATCTAATCATTTCATCTACTCAAAACCTGCCTCTCCCATATATTGCCCCACAGAAATAAAAACCTTTATCAATGTTTAAATGAAATAATATTTTTCCAGTATCTTTATCGATTTGGAGAAATGAGTTAAATCTATGAGAAAAATGATAAAACTGTCCATATTTGAATCAGCTTTTATAAGGTTAAATATTAATTCTATGTTCTCTTTTAAACTGGCAGTTACTTTAAAATAATAATGCTAAAAAATTGGTTTAAATACTCTCACCAAGAGAAATTAATTAGTTTGGAATTGGGGATGAAATTCAAAATGGCAATGTTGTTGCCTTCACTTATTTTTTATTGTTTCAAGTTGTAAATTCTCTTTACAGCTGCATCCATTTTATAGTCTACATTATAAAAATCCATATAACACATAGCTTGTGTTTTTCAAAAGAAGGAAAACATGTTCTAGACACAAAAAGGCTCTAAGATAGGCAACAACACAGAAAAAGAAGCAGGAAATATGAATTATTATCTGTATTTTGCATGTTTCTCAATCACAACTAACATAACTAAGAAGTAGCAATAAATCGTCTTTATAGATATCAATAGGGCTGGAGCGATAGCACAGCAGTAGGGCATTTGCCTTGCATGCGGCCAACATGGCTGACCTGAGTTCAATTCCTCCGCCCCTTTTGGAGAGCCCGGCAAGCTACTGAGAGTATTTTGCCCGCACGGCAGAGCCTGGCAAGCTACCCGTGATGTATTCGATATGTCAAACACAGTAACAACAAGTCTCACGATGGAGATGTTACGGGGCCTGCTCGAGCAAATCGATGAACAACGGGACGACCATGATAGATATCAATAAGTCATTTACTTGGAAGTGAAAAAAAAAACATTGATTAAGAAATGTGAAGTTACAAGAAAAACTAGGAAATATTTGACTGCTTAACCCCTAGTCTGGTTAAAGAGCCTGAGAATCAACAACTCAGTCCCACAGAAACTTCTCACCTTGCTGCTGCTGTGTTTCTTCTTGCTCACTGAGGGAGACCCTGGTTGACCAGGGCTGGGAACAGAACTGGATCCTGCCGAGGTAGGGCCTGAATGTCCATGTGATCCCTTTTCAACCACTGAAGACCTCACTAGTGGTGACTGCTGTAGAGAAACCTTCTGGAGCTCTGCAGCCAACTGCTTAGGATCAACCCCAGGGGATTTTGCTTTGTCCACTGCAGAAAGAAAAGAAAAGAAAAGAAAAGAAAAGTTTTTACATATTTCTCAGTTTCATAGGTACTTATTAAGGAAATTTTTTATTTATAGAATTATGAAATATTATTTTTAAAAATAAGCCAAAGTGTTAAACATAAGTGAACAAAATTATATCTTGATATATTCATTGTTTTTAACTTAAATTTTATTTTAGGCACTATGGCTTACAATAGTGTTACCGATAGGGTTTCAAACATAACACATTACTGCACCATCCTTCCAGCTAAGTGACAACTTCCCTTCACTAATGTCCTATTATTCCTCTTCCCATCCTAGCAGCCCTCTTAATCTTCCCTGTGGTATATTTCCTATAGTGTATATACACAATTGGATACCACTCAGCTATAAGAAATGACAAAATCATGCAATTTGTGACTATCTGCATGAATCTGAAGAGTATCATGTTGAGTGACCTTAGTAAGAAGGACAGGGACAGACAGAGAAAGATCTCTCTCACTAGTGGAATATATAAAGCAGGGTATGACAAATGCCCAAAGGCATGAGTAACTGAGAACTAGTATATGGTGGATGGTGTAGGTAGAAATATGTTATACATGATATCCTAAAATTAGCAGCATTATAAACCACAGTACCTTAAGTATATTAAATGAAAACAAAACAAACAACAAAATAGACCCCAAATAGTATTTCATTGTATATAGATGTTCCATAATTTCTTTATTCAGTTGTTTGTTCTTGTACTCTTGGTTGTTTCCAGATTATTGCTATAATGAACACAGGAGTGACAAAATCTTTTCTGAATACAGTTTTTATGCCCTTGGAGTAAATGCCAAAAAGTAGAATTGCTGGCTTATATGGAAGCTCAATTCCTAGTTGTTTAAGTGTCTGCATTGTTTTCCAAAATGTCTGGATCAATTAATATCCCATCAGCAGTGAATGAAGGTCCCTTTTACACACATACATGACGACACTAATTGTTTTATTTTTTTGGTGTATGCCAATATAACTGGTGGGAGATGATAGTTCACTGATGTTTTGATTTGCATTTTCTTGATGATAAGTGATGCAATGCATTTTTTTTACAAGTCCTAGCCCTTTAATATCTTCTTCGAGGAATTTATGTTTATCTCTTAACCATTTTGAGATGTGATTGGCTGCTTTTACTTGCAAAGTTCTGTTGATATAATATCTGCTAGTGTTTTATATATCTTTTTTAAGATGAGTGGTATGCAAATATTTTCTCCCAATCTGTGGGATGTCTTTTTATTTTGGTTACTATTTCTTTTATGTTGGAAAAGCTTCTATCCTCCCTTCTCCTTCTGCTTTTTCTTTGAGCTACAAGGGGCAACAATGTTCAAGAATCAATCCCTTTGGGGCTCTGGGGATCATATGTGGTGCCAAGGATTGAACCCAGATAAAATCACATCAAGGAAAGCACGTTATCTGATGTACTATGGCTGCAGCCCTCAGAAATTCTTAATTTGGTATAGTTACATTTATCTTAGCTTCTGTTTGCTTGGCTAATGACATTGTATCCTTGAGGACACCTTTAGTTTTAAGTGACATATTCATTTTCAAGAAGTTTAGAAGGTTCAGAGAACAGAGAGTAATGTTGAATTAAGATCCCTAATACATCTTTAAAAAGTATGTGTTATACAAAGAAATGTATGAATTTAAAATAGTGTATTTCCTTTATTCAAATTTGATTTGCATGATAATTATTTAAAACCTAAATCTAAATATCTTTCTCAAAGGGAGATACCAAAGAGTATATTTCCAGATGCCTGAAAAATTCTACAGGCATATGGTAGCACTGTAGCACTGTCTTCTAGCACTGTCCTCCCATTGTTCATTGATTTGCTCGAGCAGGCACCAGTAACGTCTCCATTGTGAGACTTGTTACTGTTTTTGGCATATCGAATCTGCCACGGGGAGCTTGCCAGGCTCTGCCGTGCAGGGGGGATACTCTTGGTAGCTTGTTGGACTCTCTGAGCATATGGTACAGCCAGAATCCTGTTCTGGCTATGTTTCTATAGCATATGTATAGAATGTGTTCAATAACATTTGTTAAAGGAATAAATGATATTTGAATTTCAATTAAAATTGGGTGTTGTCTGTTTGTTGATCTTTTGTTACATCTGGCAGTACACAAACTCCCAGTTTGAAGTCAGGTAATACTCCCAGTAGAGCTCAGGGAAGCAGGCAGTGCTGAGGACGGAACCAGGCCTCTAGCATGCAAAGCATGTGTTATAGCCCTATGTATTATTTTCTCAGTTTTGTGATGCTTTTAATATTATAATTGATCTAAGACAATAGACTACCTTTGATAACTAAGTTAATATCATTTTTCATCAAATACTTAAGAAAATTTCTGTTATTTACTACAAAAAATCAAAAGATTCAGAAATGAAGATTCTAAATTCCAGTTATTTTTAAAAGAATATGATACTATCTGAAAATCATGTAACATCAAAAACTAACAGTTTCATGGATTACTTTCATAAGATGATTTTTTAAATATATTTATTTATTTTTGTTTCTGAGTCACACCCAGTTTATTTACTTGTTTATTTTCCTTTTTGGGTCACACCCAGCAATGCTTAGGCATTATTCCTGGCTTTGCACTCAGGAATTACTCCTGGCAGTGCTCAAGGGACAATATGGGATGCCGGGGATCTAACCCAGGTCGACCGCATGCAAGGTAAACTCCCTACCCAATGTGCTATTGCTCCGGCCCCTGATGATTTTTTTTAATAATAAAAAAATGTGAGCTTTAAACAGAGAGATAATCTGAGCCTAAGGTATATGCATCGCATGCAGCCAGTTCCAATTCAATACTTGAACACAGTGAGTCTAGCCCTGGATGCCCTGAACACAGTGAGTCTAGCCCTGGATGCCATGAGCTCTCAGTATATGACCCTGGATGTGCTCTGCACAAAACCAGGGAAGTCTAGGGAATCCCCAACACTACTGAGCATAAGCAGCACATCATCTTTGGGCTCTAGCAATGGACCACTCACTTAGTGAATACCACTTGGAAGGTCCCCACCCACCACCATTGCAAAATGTGAGCTCACAGCAAGACTTTCATACTAGTTCCTCTAATGTGTTAGCATTTATTATATTTCCCTAGAATCCTAAAAATAGAGCCATGTTCATTAGAATCTGTTTGTAATTATGAAACTTTATCTGCAACTTTATTTTTACTCTATCACTATCTACTCATCTGCAGTTACGTCTGCTCCACAACTACTTCCACACCTACATCTAATCTATACATCTAATCTAATTTAATTTCCCCACTTCAGTTCCACACCTACATCTAATCTATACATCTCGAGCGGGTCCAGTAACGTCTCCATTGGAGACTTTGTTATTACTGTGTCTGGCATATCGAATACTCTCGGTAGCTTGCCGGGCTCTCCGAGAGGGGCGGAGGAATCGAACTCGGGTCGGCCATGTTGGCCGCATATAAGGCGAACGCCCTACCTGCTGTGCTATCGATCTATACATCTAATCTAATCTAATTTACCCCCCTCAGTTGAAAGAAAATTCTTTAATACTTACTAGCTTTGGGTGGTTCATGAAGTTCCAAATGCTGGGGATTTTCAGAATCTGATAGCATACTAATGTCCCTAAAAACGTAAAGAAAAAATTAAGAAACAATTTGAGGAAGCTGGGACAAAGAGCCTTTTTTCCAACTACCCTGAATTTTTTTTTAAGTAGGTAAATGAGAAGTGGTTAATGATATAAAGCAATTTTAAAGCATGCTCATCCTTCTAATCAAATACATATTTGCAATGCTGTTAAAAGTTAGAGCTGATAACAATGATTATTTAAGGTGAAATCTTTATGGAGTAAATGTAAATTCATTTTGAGATACAATAAAATTCCATGGAATCTAAATGGGTTTAAGCTTTCATTTATGTGAAGCATGTTTCAATAGGAGCATGAAAGGGGAGATTCACTGACATAATTGTAAACAAAATTAGCTGAATTCTTTCTATGGTTTATTCAGACTTTGATTCTGAACACAAGAAATCTATAAACCTTGTATTCACTTTGTTTCCTAATTACAGAAAATCTTGCTGACTGGCAAAGGTTCCACCTTAACAATTTTAAAACTTAAAAAAGCCATGAATAGCCAAAAAATGGAAACAAAAAGATGGGGAAAAACTCACAGTCTTACACATATTTCTGCTTCCCCACTTTGTTGATTAATGATACTCTGAACTTCTTCATATGTCTTAGAAGTTAAAGGAATTCCATTCCATTCCAATACTTGCATCCCTAAAAAAGGAAATTTATATAAAACAAATTTAAAAAGGTCTGCTACTTCTAATCCGGGTTCATAGGGCATAGAAGTCAGTGCATTGCATTTATAAACCAATTCAGCACACCATATCAGAGAACATTAGTTCAGAGTTTTCTAGAAAATTAAAACCAAAACCATACATAGATCAATCTCATTACCTTACCTGAAGCAAGGTAAAATATATTTAACACAACATCTAAACAATGCTTTGGGAAAAAATCTACTAAGTAAATCAAACACATGCATTTTCTTTACACTTCCATAAACAAAACAATATTGAATGTACATTGCTTAAGATAAATTTTGTACAGGAAATCACCAATACATGTTTCCATTGGAAAAGCACATAAAACTTTTATATTCTATAGTGAAGTAGGAATAGTATAAAAAAGAGATTTGCATTTGACTGTGAAGCTCCTCTTAAGAAACTGCTGTGGCTTCAACTTTGCTCAGATAAAACTGATCTCCATTGTGTCTTTTTCTCCACTGCAGTCAATCAAAAGAAACAGAAGTATCACAGGGAGGGTGGCTTCCTTGGATGTGACTGGTGAAGCAGCGTAACTTCCTGTCTCATACAGTACCATGCTTTGTTTTAATGCATTGCTTCAGCCATCTTGGATTTCTTTACTAATATTTTTATGAAGAAAATTTTCTGAAGTGTTTATTCATTTCACTTCGGGTCCTGTAAATTATGTAGCCATACTGGCTACAGAGTATTTCATGTTTCTTTTTCTCCTTCAAAGATATTTTCCATACAAAAATATAGTGGCATTATAATTAATTAAATTTAATATTTTAACATTTTTATTTGATTTTTGCCCTTAAAATTAGTCCTTTACATGAGCTGTTAAAATCATAGGGAAATATTTTTGGCATGAAACATAGAGCCGTACTGTCTACTATCAACGGAAAACTTGATGCAAATCAAATGAAACCATTTTAATTGAGTGCTGAAATATTTGTGAATATAATCAAATACCGCATTTACCTGCAAAAATACATATGTAAACATGAGGTTATAATTTAAATGAAAATAATTTTTTTGAACAATTAGTCCTTTAATGAGCATCACAGATGCCAATGCAAAATTCCTTACTACTCATTGTTGGCTTGAACAGGAAATTCTAAACATGGCATGACTGATTCATGAATAGTGTTAGTGATTTTAATAAACACTGAAAAAAATATTACTTACCACCTGTAAACAAAAGAATGATTTGATATTATAGTGAAATGGCAAAAAAAGTCTACAAAAGACCAACAATAACACACACAACAATGACTTTCTGTAACTTACTCCAAAAACACTTTATCTTCAGATGGACCTTAGGTTTATTTCAACAATCCAAGGCTGTTATACACACAAAATAAAAAAAAAAGTATGTAAAAGACAGTGATAATAGCAATGAAGAAAAATTTTGCACATGGAATGAAAGAAAGCACACTGAAAAACACGTTTGATTTTTAGTCAGGAGGTGATTTATAATTAGGTGATATTGAATCGCAAATATTAATAATACTATCCAGAAATTGCATTGTCACTTTTTTTTGTAGGAGAGTGCCCTAGGCAAAGGAATATTAAAATCTTCATCTTTCTTGAATTTAATTCATTTTTTACATTTTAAAGAGACATACATATAAAACATAATCGCTGAATTGAAAAAAATGAAAAAATAAAGTATTTTGAATTATTAATAAAATTGCTTAAAATACATGAAAATAACAAGGGCCTTGTATAGATATATTCCCAGGTCATGAGTTAGAAAATAAATGGTCTACTCTGTCCCATGATAATGCCAACTGAACTTTTCCTCTATCCTTAAATTTACTAGTAGAATTGGTGCCAAACTACTATTCACAATGTTTAAAACTACTTTTGCCAAAGCCTGATTCATATCATGATCATCTAATACTGTAAGATATGGAACTACAAGAAAATGACATTAGTAACAATTTATTTCTTTTGAATACCAGAGCCTTACTAAAATAACTACGTATGGTGCCGCCAGCAGGTCAATCTGTACCTGTGAGGTGAGTGCATCAGTAGCCTGATGGCAATGTCAGACTTTTAGATACCCCAAAATTTCTGCTGTGCCTTTGGCCAGACCCCAAAAACTTGGGGCAAAGTTTACCAAGTTCACCAAGAAAGTAAACAGCCAAAAGTTAGGTATGTGGGAGACACACCCACAAACCACCTCCAGCTCAGCTATATAATTGGAGGCATGGCCTCTCTAGTTCCTGATAGAACTGCTTAATGGCCACGATCCCAGAGTCTCAGAAACAAATCTTGGAACCCAAAGGCTTTTGGCAGAAATGCGTCCTGTTCCTGCAGTAGTTTACTGGCACTGGGCCATTCCAGGTGGGAATAGGTTTCGTGCCTTGGCCTGTTCCCCTTGGCGGCTTGGTGACCACCATCCTCCAGAGGCCACTGGACAGTCAGGTTTGGGCCTGAAGTGACGAGACACAGGGGCCTCACCACATGGGGGTGGAGCCAACTCTTTCTCCCCATCCCAACGAGACCCCGAGTCGCCACCTACAAACGGACTTTCTGGCTCCTGATCAAGCTGATTAATAGCCATGATCCCAGAGACTCAGAAACAAATCTTGAAACCCAGCAGCTTTTGGCAGAAATGCATCTGGACTGCATACATGGTGGTCGCTGGCTCAGAGCTTATTGGAAAGCCAGGTATGAGCCGGCGGTGACTGGGCAACTGCTGTCTCATGGGAAGGAGGGCGGTACCGGCTTGTCCTTCATGCCCTACTGAGGTCATGAGTTGCCCCGCACAAGCAGCTCTCTGGCACGGCCATGGCTCCAAAGGCAAAAGGACTTAATCCAGAGCCCGGAAGCTTGTGGCAGAAAAGTGAATGGACCATGCGTTAAATTACGGCACCATGCCTCCCCAGGAGGGAAAGGGTGTTGCTCCCTTCCGCCTCCCCGCCCCCCCCCCCACCGGCAGCATGGTGGCTGCCACCTCAGAGCGTACTGGAAAACCAGGTATGAGCCGGTGATGACTGGGCAACTGCAGTCTCATGGGAAGGAGTGTGGTACCGGCTCATCCTTCACGCCCTACTAAAGTCACAAGTTGCCCCCCACAGGCGGCTCTCTGGCATGGCCATGGCTCCAGAGGCAAAAGGACTTAATCCAGAACCCGGCAGCTTGCGACAGAAAAGTGAATGGACTATGTGTTAAACTATTGTGCCATGCCTCCCCAGGAGGGAAAGGGTGTTGCTCCCTTCCGCCTCCCCCCCCCCCCCCCCCCCGGCAGCAAGGTGGCTGCCACCTCAGAGTTTAATGGAAATCCAGGTACGAGCTGGCAGTGACCGGGCAACTGCAGTCTCATGAGAAGGGGGGGGAGCGGTACCGGCATGTCCTTCACGTCCTACCGAGGTCACAAGTTACCCCCCCCCCCCACGAGCGGCTCTCTGGCACGCTATAACACCAGACACACAGAAACCAATCTTGTAAATATCTGGCTCTTTGCAGAAATCCAAAATTGTGGCCACGTGGCATTATATGATTCTCATAACCAGCTGTAGAAAACAAAATATTTCACAATGCCTTTTCAGCAATTCTGATTGTTTGGGGGGAAATTCTAAACAATAATGTTGTATCTTTTGTCAAAATAATGAATGTAATCAATGTAGAGAAGAGTTAAGTAGAAATTATCTGCCTCACAGACATTTGGAGGGGTGGGAAGGGGGTATACTGGGGTTCTTGGTGGTGAAAAATGAGTACTGGTGAAGGGAAAGGTGTTTGATCATTGTATGACTGAGACTTAAACCTGAAAGCTTAGTAACTTTTCCCACAGTGATTCAATAAATAAATATAAAAAGAAAATAAATTAATTAAAAAAAATTAAGGTGGAGTTCATGCCCAATTCAATCAGCTAAACAGTGGCTGAATAAATAGCAGTACTCCTACAAAAAAATAACTATGTAGATAAATAAATCAGTTATTATTAACTTCTAAGAGGGAATCAGGAGTTATGAGAGTTACATAGAGGATGAATTCAAACAGCTTTTTTGAAAAATATTTCATTGTAAATTTCTATAAACTATTTTGAAATGGATTGAAACAATCAAATATGGAGGTCAGAGAGGTAGTACAGCAGGAAAGGTGCTTCTTTTGACTACTCAACCCAAGTTTGATCCCCCCACATCCCACCAAGAATGACCCTTGAGCATAGGACTAGTAGTAAGCACAAAGCATCACTGAGAGTGGTAACAAAACCAAAAATACATACATTTAAAAAGTCAAACCTTAAAAATATTTAAATATTAATGCTTCATAGAACCTTGTCAATGTAATTTGTTCAACTTGAATCTAAGGATATTCAATATAATACAACTGCTTTTCTATTTTAGAAATAACTGCTGGAATATATTATGTACATGAACTATATACAATACTAATTTTTAGCTTTCTGAGTAACATTTTTATATTTAAAAACATGATTGCCACTCAATGCCTCTTTTGAAAACCACAACACCCAAAAGGAGAGAGAGAACAAAGGGGAATGCCCTGCCACAGAGGCAGGGTGGGTTGGGGGAGATGGGGGGTGGGAGGGATACTGGGATCAGTGGTGGTGGGAAATGGGAACTGGTGGAGGGATGGGTATTTATCATTGTATAATTGAAACCCAAGCACAAAATTTGTAAGTCTACAACTGAATCTTATGGTATCTCACTAATAAAATTTAAAAAAATATATTAAAAAGGACGCAAATTAAAATATCAATGAGGTATCACCTCATACCACATAGGCTGGCACACATCAAAAAGAACAAGAACAACCAGTGCTGGTGTTGATGGGGGGAGAAAGGGACTCATTCATTGTTTGTGGGAAAGTTGACTCATCCAGCATTTTAGGAAAACGATATAAGCTTTCCTCAAAAAACTAGAAATTGAGCTCCTGTTTAACCCAACACTACCACTTCTGAGAATAAATCCTCAGGGTGCAAAAACACACAACAGA